GATTTAAAATAGCAGAGAGATGGTTATAATTTAAGGTTAGTACTCTGACAGATACATGGAGAATGAGCTTGAGATGGGCAAAATGGATCTAGGGAGACCTATTAAGAAGCTATTACACTAGTCCAAGTATGAAGAATAGTAGTAGCTTGAAATAAGTTGGTTGCAGGGGAGAAGAGAGAAGTTAATTATGTAAGAGTGACTACTAAACTGCATGTGGGGTTAGAGAGAGGGAATCCTTTATTTATTTGGTTTATGAAGCCATTCAAAAATTAGGAGGAAAATGATGATTTTGGTTTTGAGAAAAGTGAACTTAAAAATAGCCTTTTGGGACATCTAAGTGGAGAAACCTGATAGGCAGCTGGATATTTAGGCCTAGAACTGGAAATAATTTGGGAATCACCAGATAGATTATGACACAAACAAGACGAAATCACAGGGAGACTAATAAATATATAATATAGAGAGTGCAAAGAGAAGAGGGACTAAGTCTGGCACTTGAAGTATTGATATTTAGTGGCCAATTAGGGGAGAGAGAGATAGTAAAGAAGACAGAGAAAAAGGCCAGAGATTTTTAAAATTTTATTTTTCAATTACAATTTACGTTTAACACTGTTTAGTATTAGTTTCAGGTGTACAGCATAAAGGTTAGAAAATCATATACTTTACAAAGTGTTCCCTCTGATACTTCAAGTACCCACCTGGCACCATACATAGTTATTACAATATTATTGACTATATTTCTTATGCTTTACTTCATTTCCCCAAGACTATTTTGTAAATACCAATTTGTACTTTTTAATCCCTTCACCATTTTCACACAGTCTCCCCACTCCTCCCACCGTCCCAGCAACCATCAGCCTGTTCTCTGTGTCTGAGTCTGTTTCTATTTTGTTTGTTCATTTATTTTGTATTTTAGATTCCACATATAAGGGAAATCATACGATATTTGTCCTTCTCTGTTTGATTTATTTCACTTAGTATAATACCCTCTACCATTCCTTTTTATGGGCCAGTGAGTTTTGAGAAAAACTAAATGAGGAGCATCATGAAAGGAAAGAAAAAAGAATGTTTTAAAAAGGAAGGAGTGACCTACAGTGGCGAGCATTGCTGAATGGGCCGATATGAGGAGCAGTGGGAATGCCTGTAGGATTTAGTTACTTGGATGCCATTAGTGACCTTATGGAGAGGCACAATGGGCCACACTGGGCCACAGTGGAGCAAAATCAGATTATAGAGGTTTGAGGAGCAAGGAGAGTAAGCATTGAGCATCTATGCTATCTATCTAAACCCTTAGGAGAAGTTTGATTGTGAAGGAGATGATAGAGTGTGGCAGCTAGAAAAAGGAATGGGATAGAGAGACTTTTTCTTTTTGAGTTACTTTCTTTAGGAAATAATTTGAGTCACTTTGTGAAAAAATTTAAATATATGGTACTGTCTAAGCAAAGTAAACAAATAGTCTATTCATGAAAGATAATTTGGTTGGTATAATTAAATATTAAATTTTATTCTGGACTTGCAGAAGCCAAGGCAAATAAGGAAAGAGTGCATGTCAAAAAAAAACTTCATTCTCTGAGAGCAGTAATAAAAAAAGCTTATATGAATGAATGATTTCTATTACACACGTAATATCTCATTTAGTCATCACTAAAGCCCATGAAGTAGTTACTACTACCATGAGTATTTCCCACATGCAGACACCTGAACTAAAGAGGCTAAGTAGCTTGGCTAAGGTCACTAAGGTGATTGCCTGAGGGATGTTTAGAACCAGGCACTCTGACCCAGAGCCTCTATTCTTTTATGACTATGCTACATGGCCTTTATTTAGAGGGCCTCTTCAGAGAGGATGAAGTTCCTTTTGGCACCAAACTCTAAAAAGAATTGGCCACATGGGTCCTCACGATGGAGCATGACTATAGGCTTTAAGTGGTTACAGTGGCCATTGATTTTCTTTTTGACATCAGTGAATGTCCAGGGGGGTTGGAGCCTTTGGCACCTCCTCCCTGGTTCAGGCTGCTGCACCTAATGGCAGCCGCAGCTTCCCTCTGTCCTGTTTCGGTGAATTGTCCAGGTTCTGCTTCCTGCATTTAATCTTGAAAGCCTTAACTCACCTGTTTTCTAGGATTTTCATTCTTGTCTTCTCTAAGTGCTTCCTCTCTGCTGAGCTTCTTAGAATTGTTTATTTTCTGAGATAGTCAAATGTCTTTTTTTTAAATTACAAAAATAATATATGTTTATTATAAAATATTTGGAGAATTCAGAGAACCATAAGGAAGAAATCAAAGATCACTTATGATCCCTTCACTTTGCTAACATTAAACATCCTTCCTGTCTTTGTTCTGTGGATTTACCTGTATGTAACAAGCATCTTTTGATGTAAGCACTTTGCTAGATATTTTGTATCAATATTCATACAGGGGAAATATTACTATAAACCATGTTTTATAAAATGCTTTTTTCACCTACATATTTTGAAAGATTTCCCGCCACGCTAAGTATTTCTCTTTGAAATAGTTTAATCGTATTTCATCACAAGGGTGAACATTTTATATTTACTCAATTCCACATTGTCATACATCCAGGTTTTCTTCTGATTGCTTTGACAATCATAGATAAGACTGCTATGAACATGGTACATACATTTCTGTGCATAGGTCTGATTTGTTTCCTTAGGAAAATTCCCAGGAGGCAGATTGCTGTGTTAAAGGGAGTTTAAAAATCTTATCTGCTTATTTAGAAAAGTTGGCTTTTCTCCAGGGTACTGTGTCTCTATTTTTTAAAACCACTTTTTTGATGTATGATTGATGTACAAAAAGTTGGACATATTTAATGCACACTACTTGATTTGTTTGGAGGTAAGTATACACCTGTGAAACTATCACTATAATCAAGGCCATAAACTTACCTATCACCTCCAAAAGTTACCTACTGCCCTTGTTATTTATTTATTTTAAAATGTATCTATTTTTTCTTTTGTGGTAAGATCAATTAACAACATAAGATCTACCTTCTTAGCAGTGTTTAAGTGTACAATATAGCATTGTTAACTACAGGCCCAGAACTTATTTTGTAAAACTGACATTTGTAGGGGATACTGTATCTTAGATTAACTGTGAATGTATATAGTAAATAACACTATACTTTGCACTTAATAGGTGCACAAGAAATGATGACTATTATTATTCAAGATAAGCAAACCACAATTTGTCATTGGGCTTAATTATAGATGGTATTTATTACTATAAATGAAATTGTTTTTTAAAAGTAACCTTTTTGCTACCTAATTTTCTTACACCATATCCATGTTTCTTCATGATATTTCATATAACAATCATGATGATAATGAGAAACACTTTTTAGAGCTTTTAATGTAGCAGGCATTGAGTTAAGCATTTCATGTGCAACATGTCACTAATCTTCATTTGCATAGGCACTATTATTACACCCATTTTACATAAGAGAAAACTGAGACCAGAAAAGGTTACATGATATGCCCAAAGTTATATAAATCATAAGTGGCAGAACCAGGCTTCAAAGCAGGCACTCTGATACCAGAGTTTGTACATTTTGCAACTACTCTGTGAGAAAGAAGGAAAATAATATGAATGCATTACAATAACCTGCAATGCTGCTTCTTGATACTGAAAACCTAACGCTGACCTAAAGTCAGGAAGTAGCGGTTTATCCATAGCATGCTAAGAAATGATTTTTTCTCTATGTTTTCCTCCCTCTTTTAAAAAAATATCCACCCCTAGCTTCCTCATGTTCTTCCTCTATTTCTGTTATCAAAATCTATTCTTATGAATGGATCTCATAAATCATTTATTTAAGGTTTCCTGGGGTTTGCAATTGTATTTTAATAGGAACCAGCATTTTAATTCAAACTCATGTAAGTCTAATGATGGTATTTTAAACCTCAGAAAACTGGTGGGTAAGGAAATTGGTGGGAGGGGGCGGCCATACCTATCGCCTACTCAGGACACCAGCCTTTAACCTCAGTCTCTTCTTTCTCTCTTTTCTCTTCCCTGACTTCTTTCCTCAGCTATTTCCTGAGAGTAATTGAAGGAAAGTATCTTTAGGAAAGTAATAAAAATGAATGCATCGATGCTTTTGGAAGCAAGCAAAGTGATTGAAAACTGATATTTATATTCATTACTTTTTTTTCTTCGAGCTTTTGGTGTTTGTCTTCAGGACCTTTGGCCCACAGGAAGAGTGTTATGCAGACTGGTCCAAGTGAGGAACAGTGCAGACAGGCAACCGTGGAGGGCAGGGGCGAAACAGCTATAAATACTAGGAACCTTCCCAGCGTCTTTGTTTTAGCCTCTGTGTGGCTCAATGTAGACTAAGTTATTGGTAGGATGTCCTCGATTTAAAAAACAATGTTTAAGAAAATGATGGATGTGCAGGATTTCCTCCCTCCCACCAGCTGTGAAACTGATTGATCATAAAGCTTCCCCCTCCCTCGTGGTTGTTATTTCAAGGAGAGAAAAATATGAGTAGGAGTGGAAATTATTCAAGGACATCATCTTTCTTGATTTTCTCATTTCCTTCTCCAAGTGGGCGGAAGATAATTTTGTGAGGTTGGCAGATATGCAAATAAATACATTGTATTTTGAATTTATATACAGTGGCCTTGGCAATGTCAACAAACCATCCAAAGAAACTTTTGACTTGTCCTGTAACCAACCACCCCACCTACTGAACAATCCAAGGAAGGTCACTGGCCAGAGGGGACAAGTTGACAGTTTTTAAATGTTACCAGTAAAAGGTTTACTCTGCACCTATTAGCTGAGGCTCTTCAATATCATAAGTATCATGATTTAAGACCACACTAGAGTTTATCTGGTAGACCTCAAGGACTCACTGTTCCTCACCGGTAATTTTGAGACCATCGATCTAAGCAACTGAGTAGCAGGCTGAGAAACATACTACTGATTTTATAGTGAGGAAAGGTGGTTGGTAAAGTGGGACAGAATTAAATTCTTGTTTCTGTTCTTTCCAAGGCTGCTGTGTTTATTTTCAGTTCACCTTCGTCGGCTACTTTGTAAAATGTAATAGGAGAAACTGAGATATAAGTAAGACTTTGCTCCTTCCTTGCACTCCAAAGCAGGTAAGCCAAAGTGAAATAAAGTCCTTTAATTCCAACTCAATAGTGTTTATACTCCCACTGTGACAACTGTGTTTACTTTTGAACAATTAAAATCAAAAGAAGGAAAGAAGTGGGCATCTCTGAAGTGTAGCTGAGAAAGTTTGTTTTCATTGTCTGTACACGTGATCTGCCAGTTGGGTTTCCAAGCAGCCTGTGAAATCTACCTCTCCCACACACCTCCCCTTCCCAAACTTGTAATTCCAGCTGCCCTCAGGAAGCACTGTGTTCTTCATCTCACTGTCACCGTGGTGTTGGGTTGATAATAAGGTTACACAAACCTGTGTGGACAAATATGAAACTTAGATTAAAGAAACCTTTTCAGTTCTCCCATATGGCCTTGTTGAGTGGACCCTGGAAAATATGTGAGGAATTCTGAGGACAGTTTAGGAAAACAAAGCTTCTAGAACAAAGTATTTTTATAGGGAAAAAATCATGTAAATGAAAAGAGAATGTTCAGTAGTGTAGAGGCACAGATCTTCCAAGTTCAGTTAGGCTATTTGGGCCTCTTGCGCTGATGCTCATTCAGAGCCTCAGCACTTGGATGCATCCATCCATGTCCCAGGCTGGACATGCAGAAATATGTTTGTAAATTCTTGCCAAGCAAAGGCAGGGGAAGGGAGCCATCTGGCGTGGGAGGTGTGTGCTGGTTAACTCTATCAGGAAGCAGGTGGCTGCGCTGCAGGAGGTTTCCAGGCTGAGAACTGGAGAAAGGGCAGACTTCATTGGTATTATGGACACTGAGACATCGGAGTAAAAGAAAGAAACTTACTGAACTGGGAGAAAGATGTTCAGAAGGAGAAACTGTCCCTTTTGCTCTATTTTCACTTTGGCTAGCATTCAATTCCATTCCTCAAGCATTTATTGAGTGCCACCACGTATAAGACACTGTGCCTTTTGGGAAATAAATAAAAAGAAATGTCACAGAAGAGAAGGAAGAGTAATTCTTTAGGGAAGAAACAATTCTAAGGGGCATGATGCTTCATAACTCCCTAAATGCCCGTGAGGCCTGGCAGACACTGTGCAGAATCACTCTGAAGCCGCATTTCTTTCTCCTTCAGGAGGGAGCAGCATGAACACACAAGTCAAAGAAAACTAAACTTAGATTTCTTTGAGACGGCCTAGTCCCTATACCATAAACACGTATGGATTCTCTCAGGCGCGACCTTGGTCTCTCTTCCATACACACTCCTCCTTCTCAAGAATAATTTATTTTAACCGTGTAAGTGTTGTTACTCTAGGTTGTCAAAGGTTGGAACCAAGTAAAAGATGGGTATGTTAAAGGTTACATTAATAAGCACAGAAAAATACAGAAAATTTAGAAGTTATAATTTTTCTATATTTATACTAGAAATATATTTAATAAAAGTAAATAATAAATATATGTACATTATAATAAATACCATATAATACAATATTTACAATAAAAATTATAAATGAAATGGTCAGTCCTTTCATTGAATAAATTAAGAATTCAAAAGTTCAGAGAAATTAAATGACTCTACCATGGTCATACAATTGATTAGAGGTAAAATTGGGGAAGGTGCCCGGCTGGCATGGCTCAGTGGTTGAGCATTGACCTATGATCCAAGTGATCGCGGTTTGATTCTCGGTCGGCGCTCACGCCTGGATTGCGGGTTCGATCCCCAGTAGGGGGAGTGCAGGAGGCCATCGATCAATGACTCTTTCATCACTGATGTTTCTGTCTCTCTCTCTGAAATCCACAAAGATATATTTTTTAAAAATTGGGGAAGAAATCAATTCACTTGCCTTTTAACCTAGAGGTTATAAACATGAAAATATGCTGCTTTTTGAATATGAGAAACCAAAAATACATTTTGTTGGAACAAATTGGTAAGCTCCATCTCCCACCTTCTTTTCTTTAGCATTGTCTGGGAAACTCACTAAGGCTCAACACATACTTTTCTTGCCTTACATTCTTGCCCTTCTGCTATACATATGCTTCTAAGAAATTAACCTTTGTTTTTGAAAATATGTGCAGCCTTTAGTCAATAGTTATTTGATGAAGCTTTAGCATTCTTTTTTTAAAAAATTCTTTCACATTTTACTAACAGATCAAATTTTTTTATTATATTCTAAATTAACTGACTATTCACAGTTAAGTTTTCTGAAAGTACGTTTTGGCTGAAGTTGGAATACTAGTATTATTGCAGGCTAATGTAAAAATGCCTTGTGATAGATTATCTTTGAACAATGTTCTGTCAAAATATAGCATCTTGCCTCAGTCCCAAATCTTTTAACTCCTAAGCTGCCCCATACAATGAGTTATATTGTCAGGAGGAGTGCCACTTCAAAGGACATCAGAAAGAACGTACTTGAGTATGAGTGTGTTTCCCAGTAAGTGATACAGTCTTCTCTGTTTACATCTAGAATGCTATGGTGTAGAATTTTTGAAAAAATTTATTTTAGTAATTTATGTGTGTTAAGCTGGGGAAAACATTAAAGGGAATATATATATATTTAATCCTCACCAGAGAATATTTATTCCATTGCTTTTCAGAGACAGTGGAAGGGAGGGTGGGACAGAAAGAGAGGGAGAGAGAGAGAGAGAAAGAGAGAGAGAGAAACATCACTGTGAGAGAGACACATGGATTGGTTGCCTCGCACACCCAGCCTGACTGGGGCCNAGGTGGGACAGAAAGAGAGGGAGAGAGAGAGAGAGAAAGAGAGAGAGAGAGAGAAACATCACTGTGAGAGAGACACATGGATTGGTTGCCTCGCACACCCAGCCTGACTGGGGCCGGGATCGAGCCTACAACAGAAGCACGTGCCCCTGTCTGGAATCGACCCCGAGACCCTCCAGTCCTCAGCCTGACACTCTAACCACTGAGCAAAGCTGACTAGGGCTAAAAGGAATATTTTTGACATGATGGGGAGAATTTTAGTACTTCATTTTGAGGATGATTATAAAAATATATTTTGTTACAATAGTAAAGTTTTAGCAGAAAAATGACAGAAGCTAAGGTGATGGAATCAATGTTTCATGAAAAATTTAATTAGTTATAACTTAGAAAAGATCTGCTCTTGCTTTGTATTTAACTTTTACCTTGTTCCTACAAAGACACATGAAATGAAAAATCCTTTCTAGCAATACATTGGGTAAGTATAATGATATGATGACACTGTTGTTCTGATAGGGTGTAGTCAGTAGGGCCCTGGTGAAAATTGCTTATTTCTGCTGCTTAAACTTTCATGTGTTCCTGTTCTGCACATTATAACTTTGCTTTGAGTCTACAAACCACAGCTTACAATTCTTTATACATAGGTACTTTGATACTAGAGTTAATGTTTTAAAAACATTTAAAAAAATATCCTCTATGCCCTCTAATCACTAATATTTACTGAATGATTGTTATATGCAAGGTATTGTACTCAGTACATTAAAGCATGATATTTATAATCGTCCAACAACCTTGAAGGCAGCTACTTTTATCTCCATTTTACAGATGAGAAATCTGAAGTTTTCAGAGGTGAAGTTAATTGCCAAGGTCATTTAATCAGTAAGTGGGAAAATGGAGGTTTGTGTCCACTTCTGATCTTACTCAGAGGTTATGTTCTCTGTCACTGTGTTTTGGGGCCTCAATGCAGATTCAGATGTTTCAGCTCCTTCACTAATAAATCAGGAACCAGCAATGCTCTTTGCAATTGGTCTCTGTTGCTAATGGGCTCATAAAAAATGGGTAAGTGGTAAAACACTAAAATAAAACTTACATAGGCATTAGAAAAGACATTGAGATTATCTAGTGACTTGCTAAAAGATCAGCAACATTAGCACCACCTGGGGGAACCTGTCTTGAAGGTTTTCACATACTTGGACCAAAGAGAACCTAGACATTTGAAAGAGGGTCTATCAGGGCTGCAGAGCACCTGAAGCATTCCTTCTGACCCTCGAACTAGAGAAGCTCAGATTTGGCTCTTTTCCCTTTCATTTTAAGTTTTTGTCAAATCTGAGACCCCAATATTTCATTTGAAGTATAAATTTTGCTGCTTTAAGAATAGTTGAAAAACACTGTTCTACACATGGTCCTGAAGTTTATACATGAAGAAAGTGAAGCTCAATTAATGACTTACCCCAAATTATTGACAGATCTGGAACTGGAATCCAGAACCCGGCTTTCCTGCCTTTCCATGAAAAGTAGTTTAGCCTTGTGTTATATAGGGATGAGGAATGATTTTAGATTCAGGAGACCAAGGTTCTACTCATGTCTCTATCTAGAGTCAACTGGATGATCTAGATTAAAAACTTGTTTTTTCTATGACAGTATCTGTGGCTATGCAAGAAGAGGTATTTATAATCTTTATGTTCCTTTGTAGCTTTTATACTTGATGTAAATATTTCACTCAATTCCTAAAATGTCTTATTTTTAAAACCAGTTAAAAACAATATGAAAATAATGCTATGGTAAAAAGAAATTAAGTAGTACACATGGGTCTGAAGAAAACTTAAAACTCACCCTTCTCCCTGCTCCCAGCACTGCTCTGAGCCACAAAGCAGCCAGTGATGGTTTCTGTGATACCATTCAAACAGTACACCTTGGCTCCATTTCTAGTTTTACCAATAGACAATATTGACTCCCTTTAAAAAGAGGAAGAATCTATTCCATTTAAACTACCAGCAAATTCTTCATTTCCCAATTTTTTAAAATTATACTTTAGTTTTAGTTTTTCCAGTGGTTACCTTTATGACTTTACATAACATCCTATCCATTTGTTCATTTGCCCACTTTAGAACAGGTTTTCTCATATTTTTCTTTCCTGTTATTAACTTTATAACTATTAATAACTATATACTTTGTAGGTTGAATCTAAAAAGTAAAAAGCTAGTTAACAACATTTAAAGTGTTATGGTGATATAAAGAATTCAAGTATGTGGCAGACGGACCTAGGGTGGCCCTCATGTTTATGCCCCACTGTGGAGTGTGGGTGGGACTTTTTACCTGCTTTTAACAATAGAATATGGCAAAGGTGGTGGGATTTTACTCCCATGATTACATTATGGGTGTGGGTTTGTGCGTGTGCGCATGAGTATGTGTGCCCCTGAATGATAGCCATGAATAAGGGAACTTCAGGCTTACAACCACAAGGAGATGATTCTGTTAACAACCTGAATAAACCTGGAAGTGGATTCTTCCCCAGACCAGTCTCCAGGTGAGAGTGTAGCCTGGCCAATACCTGGATTTCGGCGTTGTGATATTCTAAACAAAAGATCCAGTTATGCTGTACCTAGACTCCTGACCATGGAAACTGAAATAATTGTATGTGTGGGTTTAAGATGCCATTTGTCATACTTGTAATGCAGCAATAGAAAAATTAATACAATATAGATCCAAGTAGAATTATTTTATCAATAATGAAGTAAATGTAGTTTTATATCACTAAAATTGTTGACCAGAGAAAGAACATCCAAATATTAAGGCCTACTTCTTTCATAATTACTCTATTTCCTTTGCGTAGGACCTCAGGTACAGTGGGTTGAATTGACCACTTTGTTCAGTTCTTGACAGATTACTGTTCTTGGTCTATACATGATGATTTTTATTTATTCATTGCTATTTCCCCCCTTACTTCTCACTCCCAGTCTCTCCCCACCACAGGCCACCATTGTAATGTGTAATGTGTTGTAGCTGTTTGTTTACATGTGTTCCAGAAAAACAAGAATTACTGTTTTGAGTGAATGTGTATTTTATTGCCTCACAGTACATGTAATTATAGATCTCATTCAGTTATTACTTTTTCCCCTCAACATTATATTCTTAAGGTTATATGTACATCAAGTTCCTTGCTTTAAAAAGTCACATAGTAGTCCATTGTGAGCAACCACTCTATCTAATTTATCTACTCTACTGCAAGAGACACCCAGAGCATCTGCAAATCCCTGATACCATAAACAATGCTACTTATGGAATTTTATTCTTCCCTAAATTTTTAAATAATGTACTTATTGACTAAACAAAAATAAAACTAGAATTTTGATTAGGATTGTAATGAACTTATAGATTAGTCTGGGAAAATTAACATCTGAAGACTATTAAGATGTTCCTTCTAAAACATGGAATCCATTTATTTACATCATCTTCTATGTTATTAGAATTTTCACATATTATACATAGAAGACTTGCATATTTCTCACCATCTTCCTTCTCTCCTTATTCTACAGAGGGTTTTTT